ACAGACAGACAGACAGACAGACAGACAGACAGACAGACAGACAGACAGACAGACATAAGTTTAAAGCTGCTTTTTCAAAGTAAATAATTTTGGACATATTTTAAAACCAAGTATGTCAAGTTTGGCATACACCCTTTACCTGCTGTGTCTGCAACTCCACGACCTTTTCTTGGGCCTCTCTTTGTTCCTTCCTTTTGTCATAAATTGGCTTCAGGATGGTGAAGAGCCCTACAACAGTGAAGCATATGCCCATCACGATGCCGATAGAGCCCACAACGATGAAGTCGATGACGTAATAATCACTGCCGTTGTAGATCAAATAGATCCCTCCTCCGAACAGAAAGGTTCCAATGACGAACGTGAAAACACAAGTCAACCACGTTTCTAAAGGTGTCCTCCCTAATTCTTCCCGCAAACGTTTCTTGTTAGGATCCTTTTCTTCCTTATTGAATTTGTTGTAGAAAAACTTCCGAAATCTGGACCATTTTTCCTGTTTTTGCTTTTGCAAATCGATTGCTCCTGTGTAGAGCTTTTTTTGTGGGTTGTGTTTCTTTCCAGCAGCATCCGTCTTTTTACCATCGGACTTGTGGGTGGAAGAATCAGTTGTCTTCTCGTTAGGTCCAGGGGCAGGCTTGACCTTCCCGCCTATCCCGAAGAGTTTCTGTTTGATGCCCACCCCAGACATAATGGACGATGTGGGCTGCTTCCTCTACATTGGCGTACCAGACACGGTACCACTGGAGTCTGAAACTGGAATAGTTCTAAGACACAGTCTTTATTATATTTTTGTGTGAATCCAACAATGAGGATCACACTTATGGTAAGCTATTCCAAAGACTGAACATTTCATATAGATTTTAACCCTAAGTTATAAAACAATCTTTTTGAACACCTTTACTTTTCAAATGCTGTGTTGAGGGATTGTAGGTCTGGGCGTTGTAAAATCAAAATGACCGTAGTACTGTCCCACACGTTCGGTTATTTCTATGTAAACAGCGATGCATGGCCCGTCACAGTTCAGCAGTCTTCTCATTTGGAACTGCGGAGTTTTTGTTGAAAACCGAAGCTTGCAGTGTCGTACAGGAGCTGGCATTGATTGGTGATCCTTGACAATAAGGAGCGGGTGTATGGCATTGGCTTAAATCCAGATTCTACGGATCTGGGGATATAAATAGATAAAACAGAAATCTTCAGTTAAAGCAAACCATATCCACGTGGATGGTTAGGGGATATGGGTGGTTTTATAAATATTTTTTTTTATTTGCTTGTTTATTTATTTATCTATTTTT